TGGGCGCGACCTCCGGGAGCCCGGGGCTTCCCAGGACGAGGACCCCGCGCCCGCGACCGTCCCCGAGCGGGCTCCGAGCCGCAGTGCGCGCCGCGCCGGCCTGGCCCTGCGTCCTGTCCTGTCCTGTCCTGTCCTGCGGGTCCCTCTGGCTCCCCGCGAGCCGGGGCTGCCGGTACTTGGGGACAGCCACCCCACACCCAGGAACACCTTTGCAGGCTCTTTTTTTGGGGGGGGGGCATAAGGTGTTGGAACACCCCCACCCTCAAAGCCTACTCTTAACTGGGAGCTTTAATTTTTTTTCTAGTGTAATTTATTAGCCACTCTGAAAAACCAAATTCAGGCCGGGGATATAGCTCAGTGGCCCAAGCGCCTGCCTGGCAAGCGCAAGGTCCCCGCACCAAAAAAAACAAAATTCAGTATATTGTTTCGATCAGGCCCCTGGTGGTGAGCGTTTGTGTGCTGTGGCCCAGGGACCTTACCTGTGGTAGGTAGGTGGCTCTTTGTGGTTTGCTCTCCACCTTCGATTTCACCTGACAGCTTCCTTCGTGGGAGCCTATTTTCAGGGAGCTGCTTTGGGATCTGGCAGGTGATTTTTCTAGGAAATGAAGAGTGGCTAAGGCGAGGACTTCCAGTCACCGTTTCCGGTTTTCAGATGAACACGTCTGGTGGGATACCGTTGTGGAATTGTAGGACTCCGTTTACCAGTGGATCCTCATGCACTCTCCAGGATAGAGGCAGGAGCACTAGGGAAAGAGCTACAGAAAGGCCCAGCTACTGCTTTTCCCACTAACAGAAGGTAGCGTCTCACCAATCTGAGCCAGAATCCGGGTTCTGCCTGATGCTGGTGGAGGGACCCAGGCAATTTTCTGAAGGGCGTGATTCTAGATATCCTGGGACACCTGCTTGTTTCCTGAGATAAATGTGCATAAAGAATCCATGTACCAAGCCACAGAGAAGACTGGCCTAGACTGGTGACACCAAATGCCTTATATTTTCCCTAAATGATTACTTCCAAATTCTCACCTGTGCTGTTTTTTTTTTTTAATTTAAAAAAAAAATCTTAAGTGGGGCGTGGTGGCACACACCTGTAATCCCAGCACGTGCGAGGCTGAGGCAGGAGGATCAACGGGAGTAAACTAGCCTGAGCTACAAAGTGAGCTCAAGGCCAGCCTCAACTGCGTAGCAAGACCCTGTCTCAAAAAGACAATAAAATAAAATAAAAATTTAAAAAATCCTTTTTTGAGACAGCGTCTTACCGTGCAGCTCAGACTGGCCTTGAACTTACTATGTGGCCTAGGCTGGCGTTGGATTCCTGCGATCCTCCTGCTTCAGCCTCCTCGGTGCTGGGATGACAGGTGTGCGCCACCACACCCGGCTTTCCGTATGCCATCGCCCCAAGCCGTACTTTGTTCCTGGGGCCACCGTGACATTGAGCTGCTCTGGCTGCCCGCTCTTCCCTGGCTGACGTTGGCAGCGGGACGTCCGCTGCCCCACCTCCTAAACACACACCTTATCTCTGTACAGCTCTTCCTGGTAGTGCCAGCCGCCTGCACCTGGGACACGGAGGAGTCCTCTGCCAGGCGTTGGGCTTCCTCATTCTGTCCTTCTTGCCCGTGTCGGTCTGTGACTTCATCCCACCCTGTCCCCGTACATGCCTCAGTGAGTGGAGATTACGTGTTTAGATCTTCTCTTTGTTAGTCTGTGGAGCAGAAGCCCTGCCGCCTTAAGTTCTCTCTCCAGTGCTCAGCCGCTTAGAGTAAACAGACTGCGTGGAGCATTGGGGTGCTGCCGTTGTTAGGCCCGATTGGGGGCCTGGACATTTCTTGGGGTGAAGGGAACACAGAACAGCTACGAACTACTTGGACGTACCAACTACTTCTTAGGGTTGTTTTGTTTCATTTTTTTGATACTGAGAGTTGAACCCCGGGCCTTCACACCAAGCTACACCTTCCCCTCATTTATTTTTTTGGGAGGATCTTCTGAATTGCTCAGGTTGGGCTTTACTTTGGGATCCTCCTGCCTCAGCCTCCCAAAGTGCTGGCGTTACAGCTGTGCACCACCACACCCATTTTGTTTTCTTTAATGCTTTATTTTTTTCCCTACGTGATCTGATAGAATATTTCCAATTTCCTAAGCTAATTGAAGAGGATTGATTGGCCAAGACCATTCAGGCCAAGATGTTGTCCTTGGGTTTTTTAAATGGCCTGTGGCAGGCAGGCCATCTGTAAGCTGAGTTACCACCGGCATTGGGCAGGAAAGAATTTTCCTCATTGCTTACTGGTGGCTTCACTTTCAGATATTTTCTCCACTGTGAGAATGTAAGATGGACCCAGAAGAGCAGGAGCTGTTAAATGACTACAGATACAGAAGTTACTCTTCAGGGATTGAAAAGGCTTTACGAAATTTTGAGTCCTCCAGTGAATGGGCCGATCTCATATCTTCACTAGGCAAGCTCAACAAGGTACGTAGGGTGTATGCTTTTTGGGGCTGGGGACACGGTTTTCTTATTATTGCAAGGAATCTGAGATGATTTTGACAAATAGAAAATATAGGCAGGCTGTGTTGGAAAACATGCCTATAACCTCAGCACGCAGGAAGCTGAGGCAGGAGGATCCCTGTGAATTTAAGGCCAGCCTGGGCTATATAGTAAGACTGTCTCAAAGAAAAAAAAAAGAAAGGAAACGAATTCCATGTATTCCAAACGAATATATGGAAAAGAAAAACCACCCATAGCCTGGTCCCCCAGAGTTCCCTCATTACCTGAAACAGTGTATATACCGCCTAGATCTTTCAGAGCCTAGAATTGTACAGTGTTGGTGTAAGTTGAAGGATCTTTATCTCAACAATGCTTGTGTCTACACAAGATAAAATTTAAAATTATAAGCTGTTCAGAGATTGTTCTTTACACACAGCGTAGGATTTTTACTGCATTTTCTTCTGTTTTTTAGAGTGATTCTTTAACTGCTGACACTCTTAAAAGAGTAAGGTAAACACTGAATCCTGCCCCACACTAGCATAAGTGCAGGTGTAGCTCTGTGTGCATGTGCACATATGCGCGTGTGCGTTCTTGGATGAGGAAAAGCAGGTCTGGGACGACCCGCGGGCATCAGATGTGGCCTTGACCTTGAGCACCACTGCAGCCTGGAAGTGGGACCACTGGGTGTGCCTGTCCTGCCCAGGGGAGGGGGACAGAGTCGCTCCCAAACACTCAGGTGGCCACTGTGGCCATTGGTGGAGGACACCAGGGCTAGAAGTGGCTGCACAGCTCCGCTGGGGCTCTTGGAGACCTGACTTTCGAACGGAGCACAGGACAGGAGACGGAGGCATCCAGCTCTGATCTGCAGCCAGGCCAAAGGTCAGGCCGGCTGGGAAAGTCTGGTGACCTCATCGAGAAAAGAGAGACAGACAGACAGACTCCCCTGGCTCTCCAGGGGAGGCTGTGTGAGTGGAGTGACCCTGGCCCACTGCCTGCCACCGCGTAGGGGAGGTGGCAGGGAGCAGTTCTGAGCCTGTCAGCCTCAAGAAGATGGGCAGTTAGTACAGCTCAGGGTCCAGAAACTGCTCTTCTCTTGCAGGGCGTGTTTATATCACACGAATGTCAAGGCCGCATGCTTGCAGGGTGGACAGGTGTGTTCTCAGGTCTTCCTTTAAGATAGGACACAAAGCCAGGCATGGTGGCGCACGCCTGTAATCCCAGCACTCGGGAGGCTGAGGCAGGAACATCCGTTGGGAGTTCAAGACCAGCCTGGGCTGTGAAGTGAGCTTAAGGCCAGCCTAAACTGCATAGTGAGACCCTGTCTCAAAAAAAACAAAAAAAAAAAAGATAGGATACAAGCACTTGGGAGGCTGAGGAAGGAGAATCTCCACAAAGTTCAAGGTCAGCCTAGGCTACACAGGGAGTCCCTGTCTCCAAACAAACAAAAACGCACAAAGTTTATTGTTTTATTTTGGTTTTTTGGTTTTTTTGTTCATTTGTTTGTTTTTTGGTTTGTTTTTCTTTTTGTCTTTTTGAGGCAGGGTCTCCTATGCAGTTCAGGCTGGCCTTGAGCTCACTTTGTAGCTCAGGCTGGTCTCAAACTCATGATAGTCCTCCTGCCTCAGCCTCCCAAGTGCTGGGATTGCAGGCGTGCACCATCACGCCCAGCTAGTTTTTTGGTTTTGTAGGACGGGATCTTGCCATACAGTTTAGGGTGGGCTTGAACTGTGTAGCCCAGGCTGATCTCCTGCCTGAGCCTCCTGAGTGCTGGGATGACAGACAAGCATCAGTCACCATGCCCGGCTTAATCACCTCTCTCCAGGCGCCATCCCCACACACAGGCCTATCCTGAATACTGGGAGTGAGGACCTCACAGAGGAACTCACAGCAATCCTCCTGCCTCAGCCTCCTGAGTGCTGGGATTACAGGTGTGCCCCACTACACCTGGCTTCACACATTTTAATTAATTATTTTTACGTCCCCATCTCCTTCCCTCCCTCCTTTTGGTTCCCTTCCCTTTCACAAAAGATCTTCCTGTTTCCTAGCATCTTTTATTTTGCTCTTTAGTTCATTTATACTTTGGGTCTCTCATATCAGAGAAACCATGTGATAGTTAAGCTGGGGCCACACAAGACGGGCACTGGTGGCAATTCCTGCCCGTCCTCGTGGACGTCAAGTAGATCCTGTGCCCGAAAGTCGAGCGGCCAACACAGGATCCATTTGTCTCTGGCAGCGTCCCATGTCCTTGGCCCTGGAATTCAGAAGATGCAGCAAATAGTGCATCAGCCTGACTCCCAGACCCGGGGGCCGGCTCCTGAGTCTTACTGTCGTGGAGGTAGGCTGCTGCTCGGGCAGCACTGTGGCTTTGTTCCCTGACCCAGGGATCTCGTAACTGAGACTGCGAGGGCATTTGGGATGCAGGCTTGGTCAGCAGCCACAGTGTGAGCCTCTCTCACACTGCCAGGCTGAGGTAGTGCTTCTGCAAAGAGCATTTCTTGCCAGGCCTTAATCCCAGCACTGAGGAGGCTGAAGCAGGAGGATCACCGTGAGTTTGCTGCCAACCTGGGCTACGTGGTGAGACCCTGTCTCCAAAAAAAGAATATTTGTTTTTGCCCAGAAGAGTCTGCTGTGCTGTGTAGTAATTTGTAGCTAGGGTGAGGGCGAGGTAGTGCTTTGTGTCTGAGTAAGAGTATTTTTGCCAGTTCTTCCTTTCCAGTCTGCTGGAAGGATGGACACAGTCCCAGTTTGGAAAGATGAATGATCCCTCCATGCTCTAAGGACAAAAGCTCATCGAGCAGAATTGAGTTGATGGATAAAGGAAAGGGCTTGCGATCCGCTTACAGCACAGAAATTCTGCTGAAAAAGTTAGGAGGCTGGAAAGTTCCCGGCAGGCCTGGTGTGCAGGATTCCTGTCTGTGCCGTTTCCCCCTCCCCCAAATTTGTCTGACACCTGAATCTTCATCTGAAGAAAGGGCTGCTGAGTAATTTGGATTAAATGAGGCTGTCGTGTCTGATCTTAGAAGAGGAGGGAAGGCTGGGGATGTAGCTCAGTGGCATAAGCGCCTGCCTGGCAAGCACAAGGACCTGAGTTCGATTCCCGGTACCAAAAAAAAAAAAGAGGGAGGGAGAGACACCCATCTTGCTCTGCTCTTTCCCTGCTGTGTGAGGACAGAAAGAAGCAAGTCTGCAGGGAGACTGGACCAACGGTTACCTGGCTCACAGAGGGACTTCCCTGTGGTCCTGTGAGAAGTGACCTCTGTTTAAGCCACGTGAGCTGAGGTGTTTTGTTGCAGCAGCCTAAGCAACTCATACAGAAGGAACTAAATTAGCTGGGTGAGGTGGCTCATGCCTGTAATCCAGCGTGCAGGAGGCTGAGGCAGGAGAATCACCATGAATTTGAGTCCAGCCTGGGCTGTGTAATGAGTTCAAGGCTAGCTTAAACTACACAATGAGATCCTGTCTCAAAAAAAAAAAAAGAAAAAAAAAGAAAAACCTACATTAAACTTGCCTGCTTTGTTTTGTTTTGTCTTTTTGAGACAGGGTCTCGCTATGCAGTTCAGGCCTGCCGTGAGCTCACTTTGTAGCCCAGGCTGGTCTTGAACTTGCAACACTCCTCCTGCCTCAGCCTCCCAAGTGCTGGGATTACAGGGGTGCGCCATCACACCTGGGTTCTTGCCTGTTTTTCAGTCAAAACTGTTTGACCATGAGTATCGACATTAAGCTCATTTTTGAGCCAAATACAGGCATTTGGGGGCTGTGGGCTCTTTCCAGGGTCTTGTGTGGAACAAAAAATTGGACAAGACACACACAAAAGGTAGCGAGGTTTTACATGTATTAAAGACAGGAAAGAAGGATGCACTGCAGAGTGAGAGCAGGCCAGAGAGAGCAAGAGTCAAAAGGTTCACAGTGCTGTCGTTTGTACCCCATTCTGACCTCAGATCCGGGCTCTCTGTCTTAGTTAGTTTTCTCGTCACAGAGACAAAATACCTGACAGCCAAAGTTAGGGGAGGAAAGGTTTATTGAGCTCACAGTTTGGTGCATAGCGGGTGGGCTGTCTCCAGGGCAGGGTGGCATGACAGGGATCACAGAGAACAAACAGTTCAAGGCAGACAGAGGACAGCAAAAGCAAGCGACAGTAGCAACTTCTGTCTGCCCCGTTTATGTTCTATCTAGGCCACTGGGCTCAGGGTAGTGTCAAACCAGTCAGTGGACTAATTTGGTAATCACTCACCCTTAATCCCAGCATCACACTCTCTAGGTCCAGCCACCTCTGACAAAGCCCCACCTATGAGCACATGAGACTGGGGGACATCTAGACACAAGCCAGAACACTGTCCTACCAAAAACCTGCTTGATTTTGCAAAAGAACTGAAGATAGCATTCTCTAATCGGTCCTAGGTGCAGGCCTTGGGAGCTGTTTCTCTGTGTGTCCTGGATCTCTGATAGACAGGTCCGGCCCACATGCCCCCCCTTGGCCACGCCCTAATCTGCCTCACTCCACTATAGATTAGTTTGCATTGTTTAAATTCTCTCTCAGACTGCTCTAGCCTCTTTCAATCACCACAGCTACGTGGAGAGTCATCAAGCTGTTGTTGATACTTCATTCTTGCTGAGTAAGGTCTGTCACTGGCAGGGTTCAGGGAGTTGAAGAAATGGGGACCTCAGCTTGGCCCACCAAGTAAGTCCTTGAGTCTCAGCACAGAAAAAAGAATTTCAGGATGCATCAGTGAGAGGCATAGACAGATTTTCCTAGGCAGAGTTAGGAAATACACACGGAAGATAGACTGCCGGCACTGGAGAGGGGGCAAACTGTGGTCTGCAGGTGTTTGGGGGGTACCCTTTTTCCCTTTTGGTTTTTTGAGACAGGGTCTGCCTATATAACGCAGGCTGACTTTGAATTTTCAGTGATCATCCTGCCTCAGCCTCCTGAGTGCTGGGATTGTCGTTGTGTACCACACACCTTGCCTTGGAGGCATCCTTTAAAG